GTGTTTGGGGAGGGGTTTTCACCATCGTAGGGCGCCGACCAGTCTCGGCACGACCAGGAGCAAAGCTCGATACCCCGACGGGCATCCTTGAGGTACTCCAAGTAACCCGCATCCCAGTCGAGGCAGTCTGTGTTGGCCTGCTGATGCATCGGGCTGTCGGGGGACTGGGAGCTGGATGGACCCGAGTGCAGCGGATCCACACCTGCAGGAGTAGAGGTACCTCCTCCTCCTCCTGATACTGCACCGCTGCTCTGCTGCCGGATGAAGAAAGACAAGCGGGACGGTGTGCTGGGTTTGGGCAGAGCAGCAGGCTCTGTGCTCGGGTTGCTCAGTGCTGTGGGACGACACAGTCACAACACCCGTTAGACGTTCTTTTAGACACGATGGATTCTGTGTAGAGGCTGTGTCCAAAACCTTTATTGGAATAAGTGGTTCCCAACCCTGGTCCTTGGGGAACTCCATCCTGCATGTTTTAAACGTCTCCCTGCTTTGACACGCCTGATTTGAATAAATGGGTGACCAACAGGCTTCTGCAAATTTGAAGTAATAAAATCACTGAATCAGGTGCGTTGGAGCAGGAAACAACTAGAACATGCAGGATGGAGTTCCCCCAGGACCAGTGTTGGGAACCACCGTCTAATTCATGCATTGTGACCACAACAATTAAAACAACAGAAAATGAACACTTCTTAACAGCAACTTGTCTGTTCACCCCTCACAAAGTACAGTTTTACGTTTGTATCCAGTTGCTAACAGCCAGGACCAGCCAGAGTAGCTGAAACAACGCCGCTCGGTTTCAGAAAAGGTTTTTAATTCTTATAACCTCCTTCCTTTTCCCGTGGTGTTTGTAGGTATTCTCAGTTCACCTTTGCCCCAGAATGGATTGTCCTCGTCCCGCTCAGCAGAGGTCGCTGCATTTAACTGGCAGCACTCCGGGATCAGCGACAAGAACTTGTCGGCTGACTTTCCGTGCATGTCGGTCTCCCTGATAGCACAACGCTGACTCAGCATTACATGGGTACAGGGCAGAAGATACCTAGATGTTCAGAAACACACAATTTGATCATTTCTTACGAGCACCTAACCCAAACATTAAAGACAGATGAATGTAAAACATTATTGTCATTTCCTTTAACAAATTGAAAAAAATAAGTATATATATATATATATATATATATATATATATTTATATAAAATTTTTGGCAATATTGCTCATCACGCCTCACTTTGATGGTGAAAAGTGTCTTATGTTGGAAATTATATGTTACAGACAAAGATCTTGGGAATACATAGTACATGAAAAAGAGTTTGTATTGGAGCTCAACAACAAAAAAGGGTAAAAGATAATTTATTGTTCACAAAATGTTTGTGAAAATTAACAAGTTGATGTCCCTCGTCGCTGAGGGTTTTGGGTAATGAGTGTTTTTCTAGACTAGAATTGCAAAAGGGAACCCTTTTCCCTTTAAAGCAACACAAACTCAATATTCCCTCATAATGTTTAAAAGCCAACGTGTCTAAAAAAAAGATGCAAGTGTGACTCTTCGTGTAGAAGTGCGTTAAAACACGATACGAATCGATAGAAACAGGCAGATGTTCCTGCAGACAAACCTGAGAACGAGCTGCAGCATGACGTCCTCACAGTTCAGAGACAGAAGTGTCCTGAAAAGACTCAGCGACACCATGCAGAGCTGAAACACACGGACAAGGAAGCCGTCAGGAAGCGGTCCTAATACACAGAGGTTTACTTTAACGAAGGAATTCTGCCAACGTCTGACTTTTAATCTGAATTAAAAGTCACTTTTAACTATCTACTAATTTATCACAAGAGCTAAAACCTTTTTTCGCCACAAGTAACAAAATCACACATTAGAAAAACTGACGTTTAGTTTTGCAGGTGAAATTATGGAAGAGGATTAGGGCCACGGTGCAATAATGATTTTTTCTTAATGCTGAGAAAAAAAAAAGTCAGAATTCTGAGATTAAGTCAGAATTCTAAGAAAAAAGTCAGAATTCTGAGATTAAAGTCAGAATTTGAGAAAATTTTCAAATTTCTGAGACTAAAGTCAGAATTCTGAGATTAAGTCAGAATTCTGAGAATAAAGATGGATGGATTCCTGCTGTTTTTTCTCATAATTAAGAAAAAAAATTGACCGTGGCCCTAATCCTATGAAATTAATTCTATGTTACTCCTTCAGAAGAGAATTGTGAATAAAACGATGTTCAAGCGTTTACTTGACGTGTTTTTCAAGAACGTGTCGCAGAAGCAGTCGTTCAACACAGAAGAGATTGAGTTTCCGTCTTCATTTGAATAAATCTAAAACTTTTGTTGTCTCGGTGTTTGCCCTCAGCCCACTCTCTGCCCACACAGCTGAATTCACATTCATGTCTCAAGGCTCCGACACAAACCGTCGTACGAACGTCTACAGACCCGAGAGTTGCTGCTGATGCGTGTGAGCAGCGTGTCCAGGATGGTGTCATTGTCATGGCGATGCAGCAGGATGAAGCGCAGGAAGGTTTTCAGGAGGGATGTTTCCGTTATGCTGCGCAAGAAAAGATCTAGGTAGGCGGTGCTGGCGATCATTTCATCCACCGACGACTGCACACACACACACACACACACACACACAAATCGTAACGTAACAAATCAGAAAAAAATACTAAATCAGGACAATTTCTTTAGTGAAAATTAATTTCTGACATGAAATGGCTCAAACCACAAATAATAATGTCCCGAGTCTCTGAGGGATTTGAAGAGTGAATGTTTGTAGTGCTGGAGATGAGTGTTTTTCTGGACTGGAATTGAACAGAATGAATGGAAGTAAACCTTAATGTCTCGGTGCAAGATCTTCAAGTGGGTAGGAGTTACAGTGTGGAGAAGAACAGAGGAAGCGTTTTTATTCTCTTACTTTTCTGAGGCAGCGCAGAGCGGCAGATCCTGGCGAGTGGAGGGAGCAAATTTAGCAGGCACAATGGTGGAACCAGGGGGTGGCTAATGGTGGCTGTGATCACTATAGATTAATTTATAGTCACCCCAGTCATTTGAGGAAACTATACGCATTATAAAACCTAGAAAGCTTAGCACAGGGGTCTGGAGCCACATGCGGCTCTTTGGTTCCTCGGCAGCGGCTCATTCAAGCGTTGACCAAAACTGACATAACTGAATTTAATTGGTAGTTATACAAACAACAAAAAAGGACTAGTTTTAGCTCATTTCTTTGGAAAACATGCGACTACTGGAACAAGTACAAGGAGTAAAACATACCGTATTTTTCGGGCTATAAGGCGCACCAGATTACAAGGCGCGTTAAATGAAACAAGTTCATTTTGACAGATTTTTGAGCACCTTGTACCACATAAAATCTGTTCGAGGATTAACACATAAGGTGCACTGGATTATTAGGCTCACTGTCGATTTTTGAGAAAATCAAAGGACTTTAAATGCACCTTACAGTCCGAAAAATACAGTACTCACTTAAACTTTATGCTTGATCTCTATTCTTAATTATTTTTTCCACAATAAAAAAACAATTACATGAGTCTGCATAGTTCAGTTTTTATTAATTTAAAAAAATATGCACACACCCACAATAATCTGGTCTCTTCATTTGTCTTGAATTGTACTGAACTGTTAAAAATCATTAGATAGTTTAAGCTTTATAATGTCACTCCTAGTGGCCACAAAGCTCTCCAACAAACCTAAAGTGGCCCACAGACCACCAGTTGATAATCACAGTTGTTGCAGCTCTGAACACGTTTAATTTAGTTAACGAAGGCGTAAAAATGGCTCTTTTGATGGAAAAGGTCTTTCTATCTAATCAAGACACTCAAAGCTGTTTACATCACAATCTGTACTACATCTCTGCAAAGATAATCTGAATCTGTAGATTAATCAGAGCTTTATCACATTCATACAATGATGGGACTCGCATCAGAGGCAGTGAGGGGTTCAGTGTCTTCAGGGACACTTCCAACATGCGACTGCTGGTGGAATCGAACCCCCAACTCTCCCATTGGAGAACGACTGCTCTAAGCACTCAGCCACAGATATGTATATATATATATATATGCCTCCAAAACCTAAGACCTACAACATCGATATTAATATGCAGCTAAAACTGAGTAAATAATGAATAACTACATATTTTCATCCAGATTAAAACAAACCCAGAAAGTAATCCCCCAAAACAAACCACTCCTCTGCAAGTCTCGTGTTCCTACCTTGTGCAGGGCGGGGCCCATGACCGGGATGAGGAAGCCGTTGTGGAGGTAACCCAGAAGCTGAGAGCGAACCATGGGGTGTGCCACCTGCACCACAGCATTGCAGAACTCCAGAGAGTTCATGAAGAGCACAAGCGACGACACGCCGATCCAGTCCTCCCTCCGCAGGGCGTGCCAGTCGTCTCCTCGGACTTCGATCTTCCTGGGCAGAGACGAGTAGAGGGCGCTGAGGCCCGTCGCCAACACCTGACCGAAGGCAGAGCGGCTTCAGGACAATGGTGCTGATCGTCGGCTGCTTCACCAGGTTTGGGTTAACTGGGTTAGATTTCTAGACGTTTTATTATTAATGTGGAAACAACTCAGTAAAAATAGTTTTGCCAATTATTTATAAAAGATTTTTCCACCCAAATTAGTCATACATTTAAAGAAACAGTTTTCATTTTCATTCAGATGAACGTGTTAATAATTCATCAGTTCAAAACTTTTGAGCTCGTACTATGATTAGGTTGCATTTGTGGTTTTTAACCCCGTTTGGTAAAGCAAAATAACTTCAAGTCATCCAAAAGTCTTCATATGAAGTCACTCTACAAGGTTGGACTAGCTGCGGTTTTAATAAATTAAAGGCAATCCAAAAATGGATAACCAGCAGCCTAAATAAATCAAATATAAATGGGAACAAAAAGAGCAGTGAAGCATTCACACTTCCACACTCCAAGAGGCTCCACCGCTCAGAACGAAGCGGAGTGTGACGAGCGAGTGCGCAAAGATAGAAAATAGATTTGGTCATAGATGCCACCTCCACTGGACCTTTTCAGCATAAAGTAGGTCACGCTGAAGCTGCTGGAAGTGAGACGAGCAGAAGATTGCTGAGCAAGCTCTCCACTGCCAGAGCGCGAAACGTAAAGCTGCGCTGAACCAACACAGCTTACTCTTAAAGTGCAGCGTTAAAACTAGCGAGCTGAATTTCTTGTATATGCAGAGATATTCTCACTGCAGGAAATTAAAACATACACACATGTACATGCTGTGCTTTTATAAAAGTGCATCTTTAGGAGCTGTGGCTCTTTATTCCCATCTAGTGGCAACTGAAGGAATTACATCCAGACTCATGCTCAATAATCCAGGTAGAAAAATCCATCGCAGTTAAATCAGGTCCTCTGGACGGATTCTTTTTGTTGACATGTTTCACGTTTCATCCAAAGGACTTCATCAGTCCGAGGAGCCACAACAAACTCTGTCTTATGAATCTGTCTTTCGGATGAAAGACGAAACACAAAGAAACGGTCCAGAGGACCTGACTTAACTTTGTTGGACGCAGGAATTACAACAATGCCGGCAACTAGCTTGTTTAATTCAGTTCTTTGCTCTAAATAATTGGTCATCAAACCATTCTAAAAGGTATAAATGAACAAAAATGGAGCCAACCAGTAAGTAATGACTGGTTTATTGTTTTAAAAATCCTTACAGCCTGAAAAATAAATCTAGTTTTCCTTTATTTTAATCTTTTTTAAACCAGAGTATAAACAAAGAATACTTTTATAAGAGTTTATTTCCATCAGACTGATGGTTTAGGACAGGGCTATTCAACTGACGGCCCGAGGGCCAAATCAGGCCCGTGGGTGAGCTCAGTTCGGCCCACCAAAGAGTTCATTTTTAAATAAAACTAGATTTTAAACCATAAAACAAACTTAACGACAATAACTGCTGGACGTCCGGCCCCCGAGCACTTTAAGTGAATAACCTCAGCTTAGGACATCGCAGCTTGATGTCATGTCCACTGAACTTTAGCGCACGATTCTTACGGTTTCTGTTTTACCGTTGTTTCTTTAAAGGCAGACACTTGTTCGTCCAACCCATGCAGTGTTTTGTTGTTTGTGTTTTCATTGCGTTACCGTACTTTTCCTAATCGCTTCCTTTACTACTCATTTAAAACTTTGCACAACCATTCCCACACACATGCACGTCTTGTGTGTGGGAATTAAAACAATTTATTCTGAATCATCTACATGTTTTCCCTCGTCTCCTGCTACATGAAAAGCTAAACCTTCTCTGGGTATCTAACCAGGTGAGGAGGTGTAAAACAACCAAACCAGTCGTAGCGAAGCAAAAATAAACTCAGAGTGATCTCGGAAGAAGTTCTGCATTTGTTAAACTTTAAGCATTCCTATTTGAAGTCGACTCAGTCACATTTTGTTCTTCCCTGAACATGTCAACATGTTCTTGGGTAAGATCTGATAAGACAAAGATAAAGATGAATGATCTGTCAGAGAGCAGAGTCATCTCCTTCCACTTCCATTATCGCACACCATCACTAACGCATAAGAACCAGCGAGCACACACGCTCACATCCTTCTCTTTTTTAAGAGCCGAGTCAGAACGCAAGCTGGTTTTTATAATTCATCCCAAAGCTTTGCATTAATAAAGAGTAGGGAAGATCCACTGGTTATTAGAGACAAAGCTGAAGGCTGAAATAACCAGGCCTGAGCAGAAGAGCTCACCGGACAGAAGTAGGAGTTTTCAGCGATGTATCGAGCCACGGCATCGTGGCTGGCTGAGGCCGCCATCACCAGCAGCAGCGCGTCTCGTGCCTGCTGTCCGATGGCGCCGTCCCGGTGGATGAAGGGCACGAGGAGGGAGAAGATCAGCAGATTGGTGGAGCCCTGATGTGCTGGTGCAGCCTGGAACAACATCTCAAGGACCACCGGCTGCCGGGCCATGGACGCGCACACCTAACGACGACATGAGAACTTAATTAACAAGCAATTACTCAAAATTCAATAACTGCCCATTAAAAAGATCAAATGTCTTCATCGGGGTGCAGATCAAAAGCATTTTTAATTTACCTTTTTTGTGTGCGTTTAAAAATACAACCTGCTTGTCTTCAATTTCTCAAACTTTAAACATTTTAACGCTCGGAGTGCAGAAAGAAGGTTCGAACATGTCTGCGTCCGTGACATCAGACTGTACCTGGTTGAGCAGCAGCACTAAGCTGTTCTCCAAGGCTGAGGGACAGCCCAGTTCTGGGTCAGCGCAGGCTCCCAGCAGCCTCAGCAAGGGGTGAAGGACGGCCGTGTGCTGCAGCAGAGGCTGCTGGGATTGGTCGATAAGCATCTCGAACAGCTTGAGCAGAGCCCCCTGGATGTCTAGGTCCAGGCCGCGACGGAGGTGCCACCGAATCAGACGCTCCAGAATGTTCTCTGTGACCACCAGCTCCAGTATGGGGCCCATGGGGACCACGCACGGTCCGCCCTCCGGGCTCTCGGCAGGGCGCTCCTCGGCCAGCAGACACAACATCTGGTCCGTGTTATTTCTCACCGCTGTCAGGTCGTCGCTGGACGACGACGTCTCGTGCTGCTCCAAAACCCAAGAAACCTGAGGAGACAGAAAAACACATCCAGATTCAGAGTAGTGATTTTATAACGGTACGTGAAAATGTTAGAAGAAGTTGCTTAATGGGTCTTTAACCTTTATTAATCATTTTAAAATGCCTCAATTGCACTTTAAACAGTTTAGACCAGGGGGAGTCCACAGTTTTTCATCATGGAGCTCCTTTTAAACCGACCAGGTCAAAGTGTTCTACCTGCTACAAGGCCCTGTTCACAGACAACCACCTCTGGAAACGTTAGTGTTTTTTCAATGTTTATTGGGGGTAATAAACAAAAAATTAGCAGGTTTACAGAAAACGTTTTAGTTTCCATGTCATTCGGGTTGCCAGATAAGAAATGAAGAACTATAGTACTGTGGCTTTAAAACAATAACACAACTCACACCTCATCTAAGATGAGGTGTGAGTTGTGTTTGTTGAGCATGTGCACAGAAAAGGAGGGGGTAAATAAGACATTTTAAATTTATCTGGCAACCCTGATGCAGGGCTCAGCCGCATTTATTGCACATGCAGCATGTGCATGACAGTTAGTCCAAACTGGTGAAGACACTAACGTCTCTTTGGAGCCTGGATTTTATTAGTTTAGCTCCTATATGCTGAAAAAGGGTGATCGCACAAAAACACTATGCTCTCTGACATTTATTATAACTGTTGTTACACTGACTACAACTGTTGTTACACTGACTGTAACTGTTGTTACACTGACTGTAACTG